TAAGAGAAAAAGTCTCGGGGAATCCCTGGGTGGCGCAGCGGTTTGGCGCCTGCCTTTGGCCCAGGGCGCGATCCTGGAGACCCGGGATCGGATCCCACGTCGGGCTCCCGGCGCATGGAGCCTGCTTCTCCCTCTGCCTGTCTCTCTGCCTCTCTCTCTCTCCCTGTGTGACTATCATAAATAAATAAAAATTAAAAAAAAAAAAAGAGAAAAAGTCTCTAGGGAAAAATTCGCTACACTCATCCCAGTTTAATTTACAATTGGGTTGCTAGTGTCTAGAAGCCACTGCCTCTGTGATGGCTTCATACCTCAATGTTAAAAATCAGAATGAGGCCAATTCTAGTGAATAGAAGTCCACACAAACAATTGCTGTTTTTGTTGGTTCCTCTGGTACCAAGTCTAAGAATAGAAAGAAAAAAAAAAACCCTGGCAACACAACAGCATCATCTTTTACAGCCATCTTTCTCTTCAGCATAAACTGAAGCATGTGTTTGATGGAGGGAGGGAAAGAGTGTTTCTTTTATTTCCCCTCAGTAAAGGAGCTTAGTTCCACTAAACAATGTTGGAAAACATATTGGAGATAGTATATTTAAAATTAATTTAAAATGTAAAGTGTTTTTAATGCCTTTTAATATAAACAAAAATTGATTTTATTAAAATGCTTTCAGACATTACAATACAATGATTTATTTATCACTCCAAGTCTGTAGCATGACTATAACTTCCTTTCCAAGTATATTGATTTTTAAATGTATTATGGAAGTGGAAAAAGAACCAAAACAGTCTACCAAAATTCTTCACCAGCCCTCTTAAATAGAACCAGGTCCATTACGTCAACGGAGTCTATTTCAAAACAGTATGGGAAAATTAGTTTTTCAAAAGGATAGGATTAACCAATTAGAAACATTTCTTAAATAACAAAGGACAGGTCATACTTTTCTAAGTTGTGTTTTACTGAGTCGAAACATGAAATGTCAAATATTGATAAAATATTCAAAGTTAAGTACACCAAAATATCTGAAATATTGATATAGATTATCAACCTTTTGGAGTCTTTGCAGAATCTAAAAATGTATTGTTAACATGAGAAACTTAAAAGATCATATTTCTCTGTAGATACAGTGCCCAGATAGAATTGATTTAAAACTTAAAGCACCTTTAGAAGAAAATTTCAGTGTTGTTGAAGTTAAACATGCAGCAAAAATCATACCTGTTACTTTTCTTCCATGTTTTCTGTTCAGGACTCCTTAGACTTTAAGGTATTTAATACAACTCAGAATAAATGTTGGTGCAAAAAATTTAATTTTAACTTTTGGGGCGTTTAGCTCTCACAATGATGATCCTTCCAAATGCTATGTTAAATATGTAGCAATAATTATGTATTTTTCCTAGCTTGTGATATAAGGTATCATGCCTCTTGGTGTATTATTCTTCGATCAAGATTGCCTGACTTCAAATGAAGAACTCCACTTCAGAGCTCTGCTTAAATATAAGACTATTACCTGAGGAATTAGTACTAGGCTGATTTTCAGTTATGTATCCTGGTATTAATAAATCCTTGTTATTTCCCATGGAATTGAGTGTTTTTGTTACTAGTGCCTGGTTTTTAGACATCTAACACTTGCATTTGTGATAGTGAAAGGGAAGAGCAATACAAACTGCAAGGTGAAATCCGTAGAAGATCCAAAATCATTGCGGTCAGTAGACAGAAGCATGACAGTGTTGCTGTTAAAAACAGACCCTGGAGTACAGAGTACTTGGATTCAGGTCTAAATATTCAATAGCTGTATGACTTGAGCAGTTACTTAACCTCTTCCGGCTTCAGTTTCATTGTCTTGATTGTAAAAGGAGGGTTGCTAGAGGTTTAAGTAAAATCTGTGGGTTTGTATCTTTATGTATCTGTATACATATGTATATATATCTACAATTAAGAGATATAGATCATATTTTATATGCATTACTTTGTATATGGATATATATTAAGATTATATGTATCTACTTAAGATGTATAAATGATACTCATTTAAAACATATACGTGGAGGGGATCCCTGGGTGGCGCAGCGGTTTGGCGCCTGCCTTTGGCCCAGGGCGCGATCCTGGAGACCTGGGATCGAGTCCCACATCGGGCTTCCGGTGCATGGAGCCTGCTTCTCCCTCTGCCTGTGTCTCTGCCTCTCTCTCTCTCTCTGTGACTATCATAAATAAATAAAAAATTAAAGAAAAAAAAATTTAAAGGGCTTGCTCTCTGAAAGAAAGAGCAGATGTATAAAAAAAACATATACGTGAATATATACATATATTCACTTCAGATTTTATGTAGGTAATAGAGGCTCATTTTTGGCAGGTGGTGTTCCTTAAATATTAACTATTATATTGGCTTGTCACTTCTATGTCTGAACTGCTAATGAGTTAACAAAATTGATTGATCTGATGATTCTTGCCATGTTTTTTCTTTCAAGTTTCAGTTATAGCAAAATGTCAATTAAGAAATTGAGTAAACACATAACAAGAAGTCTTATAGCAAAGTGCTGAGTTCATAGGATAATCACTTCCGGAATACATACGGATGAAGTCTTTGTAGAACTAGAAGAGGGGCTGTTAATGGACTTTTGTTTTAGAGATGATGGATTGATGTTTATTCTGATGAATATCCAACCTGATGAGGACCCTCCTAGCAACCGCCTCTCATTGCCTAGTACTAAAACAGTAGCTTTCCGAGTTAAGTATAACTTCCTATAAACCAAAACACTAATACCTGAGCTTCATAAGGACAGATTTTGTTTGTGTTGGGTCATTGCTGTATCTGCAGAATTTAGCCAAACGCCTTGCAAATAATGGGTGCACAGTAATTATTTCTTGAATGAACTGAATGGATGGAAAACTTGGTCTTTTCTTTAAAATAGGATTAACATTAAAAGCAAAACAAACAAAAAGTAGCAGGCTTTCCTACTTCCTGACAGATTTCTGAACCTAGGAACGCTGGTAAGCAGGTAAGCAGGGATGAGGAGCAGTATATGAAGGATGTAAGTGCAAACATGTACATTTAGCAAGTATCCTAGAAGTTAAGGATTTGGTTAAGCATTCACAGGAATGTGTGGTGTGGTGCCACACTTAACTCAGATTCCTGTGCAATGGGTCACATTCATATTACAAATATTTGCTTAGCATATGACTAACTTTAGTGTCTATACTTATACTTTTCTCTGGCCAGTGTTTTCAGAAATCCTTTACCTATGACCAAGTTTCATAAAGTGACACTAACTTTCTGCAAACATTTGGTTTGCTACTCAGCTTTGACTAGCTAAAATAATCAGTTTGACATGATCCATTCCACAGGTGGGGTTGATTACATTGCATTATTTATAATTTAGCTCACAACCTCAGATAGTGGATTAAAATAACATTCTCAAAATTATTCCCAACAATCATCTAAATACATATTCGTTTTTACTGCCATAGCAAATATTTTTTGAAACCAGAAAGTAGTCCCCTTTCATAGCATAGACAAGCTAATAATTTGAAGCAGAAACTATTCATTTGTGCAAACTGTAAGTTTTCCTCATAATTTTCATAACGAAAACTGAGAAAGGGTTAGTCATCCTTGGCTGAGCTATACTCAATTCTACATCTTTTCTAAATATAATAAAACAGCAAACAACCTTAAAGTAGACATGATTTCTTAAAGTGGTTTTTATCATCTCATTTGACTTTGGAGCTTCCAGACAATAATGAGTCACCAAAAAGCTATCATTGATTTATACTGCACATTAGCACATCAGGTTTGGCCCAAGAACTCTGTGGGTCCAGAAGGAAAAAGAAAGACGATTACAAGTGAGCCATGGCAGAAATACTCTGAAAACGCCTATCTGTATTCACCGTAAGCAATTAGGTCTAATGCGAGTATAATGAACATTCAGGTTCATTTTATTCCAAGGAACTGTTTCTGTTCTTGAAGCTCCGTGTAGAAAGAGTCCTTAGGGTTAGAATACTATTGTGGGTGATAAAATTTTGCTTGGCCTTTGGGCATATAAGGTAAACATTTTACAACAAAAGTTTACAGCTATAGATAACACAGCATGTGATCAATGTTAACACACTTGGCGTTTAAGGCTAATCCACATTTGAAAAACAATCATCTCCAGGATGAAGATCAAAAATCTTAACACAGTGTCACCTGTCTGAGTTGCTAGAAAAGATTTATTTAAAAATCGATCCATAGGATGTGTTTTCACATTTGTCAGTTTCTTTCCACTTGCGTGCTAGAGGGAGGCACTTTAAGAGTTATTAACTGTCATTCTAGGAGTAAAAGACACTGAGTTTCAGCAGGGAATTAGGGCAGGGAATTAAAATGAAATTGGATTAAAAAGAAAGTAAAAAAAAAAATCACTGAATTAGAAAATTTCACCAAATCTTGTAGATCACTAATTTCTGATTTGAATAACTTCATTCTTAAAAAAAAAAAAAAAAAAAGACTAGTAGTTATCACCCACCCATGCCCAAATAAGTGAATATACTACAGCTTCTGATGTTAAGGTATCATGGCTTTGCTGTTTGGGCTTGTAAGGGATTTTAAATATTGACAAGTACTTTGAGTCATGTTTCGAGTAAAATTTCAGAATGTTGTATTATGCATAGGTTCCAAAGTGTCAGAAACACCGAAAAGTCGAATAAAACATATTAGAAGAGCTTAGGAAAACGTATAAAAATTAAAAGGCTAAAAAAACCACTCCGTTTTAAACGTGTAAAAATAAATCGAGTTGGTTCGCGGGACTCGAATGACTTTTTTTTTTTTTAGATAGTCGGTGTGTACTGAACCCGCCACACCACGTTGAAAAGTCGGTCCTGGTACACGGTAAGGAATATCCAACCAGGTAACTACATCAGGGTGATGAGGCCCAAGCAATTGAGCGGGTAGTGAGAATAGTCCCAGGAGCCAGCGCCGCACGTGCGGAGGCCCAGGCCCCAGCACAGCTCCCACGCGTGGAGCAAGGGCCCGTGGATGCGCCCCCGCCTCCAGGCGCTCCAGCCGCGGCTCCGGCGCACGTGGAAGTCGAGTTTCTCCACCGCGAGGCCGCAGCTGCCGCACACAAAGAAGGACCAGAGCGACGTGTGGCCGCCGGTCGGCCCGTGCGCCTGCCCCAGCGAATTAAAGGAGAAGTGCCGAGGCTCTCCCGCAGGAAGCCGCGCGTTCCGAGGAAGAGGAGGAGGAGGACGCGGAGCGGGTCCGGCAGCCCGAGCGGGGGCTCCCCGACGCCCCTGGGGCCTCGGCGGTCGTCGCCGCCACCTGCGCGGGGAGCGGCGGGCGCGCGGCCAAGGCCGGGGCCGTGCTCGTGCTCGTGCTCGTGCTCGGCGGCCCCGGGACCGCGGGCGCAGGAAGCGCGGCAGGAGCCCTCGGCCGCGGGGGGCGCCGGCACGTCCCGCAGCCCCAGCGCCGCGGCCCCGCCCCGCCGCGCAGGCCAGGGTCTGCGGCGCCACGCGGGCCACGGGGAGACCGAGGCGCTGGGGCCGCGCGGCCGGCAGGCAGCCCTCCTCCGGGGCGACGCGGGTGAGCGAGTGCGCAGGCGGCGGCGGGCCGAGGAGGACCCCAGCCTCCGGAGGTCCGCGCTGCGAGCGAGGCGCCGAGCCCAGACGCGAGCACGGCCGGGGCGTCCCGCGCGTCCTGCACCAGCAGAGCCGCGTCCAGGCGGGCAGCGCGGCGCCGGCGGTCGGCGCTTCAGCCGTGGACCGCGGCTCCGGGCGGCTGCGGCAGCCCGGCGCCCTCGCCACCCCCCCCCCGCCCGGCCCTCCGCGTCCGCATCGCCGCGTGCGTGGAGCTGCGGGCCCGGGCCGCCGAGGCCCCCGGGGGCGCGCAGGGAGCTCCGTCCCGCCGCGGCCCGACGGCAGCCGGAGCCCTAGTGTCGGGGAGACGCGCGGCCGCCCAGCTCGCGGCCCCCCCGCGGAGCCCCCCCGCGGAGCCCCCCCGCGCCCCGCCCTCCGGCCCGGGTGGGTGCAGCCGGCCGGCGCCCGCGCTCCCTCCGCGCGGCCCAAGGAGGAGTGGAGGCGAGGACCGCTGCGAACCCCGTCGCCGCCGCCGCCGCGGGCTCCCGAAGCGCAAAGCGAGCAGGACGCCCTTCCCCGCCCTCCCCGTGCTCCCGCTCCGGCTCCCGCTCCCGCTCCGGCTCCCCCTCCCGCTCCGCCCTCCGCGTCTAGGCCCGCGGGGTCCCGGCGAGGAAGCCCGGCCGCGCCTCTCGCCCTCGTCCTGAGACGGCGCTGGCGGGGGCGGCGGGAGCGGAGAAACCCCTGCGCGGGCGGCCCGGCGCTCCCGGGGGCGCGGAACCAGGGCCCGGCCGCTGGCGAGGCGCAGGGCCTCGTGCCGCACACCAGAGGCCGGGCCTGGGCGCAGGCTGCGGGGCGTGTGTTTAATGTTCTGATTCGGAGCCGGCTGTGTCCCAGGCCCGAAGAATAAACACGAGACTCCGTGCCCGCACGCCCCAGCATCCGAAACGTCGCCTGGTTCACTTTTTCACTCTCTCTCCCCGACAAGCCTGTTTTCCTGTTAGTCTGCTAGGGGCCAAGACAGAGATTCAAAGCTCCCCACCCCCCCTCCCCCCCGAATTATGAAATGATCTGAGGCCAGTTGGGTTGGACGTTGCTCTGGCTGCCGCGGAGGCTCTTGTCAAGAATCGCACCCCTGAGGGATCCCCGGGTGGCTCAGCGGTCTGGCGCCTGCCTTCAGCCCAGGGCGTGATCTTGGGGACCCGGGATCGAGTCCTGCGTCGGGCTCCCTGCATGGAGCCTGCTTCTCTGTCTGTGTGTCTGCTTCTTACACCCCAGTGCTGCTTTTTCTCCTTGCAGAACTAGATCATCCCAGAGATGAAGACTGAGAGTGAGATTTTTTAATCAATTAGTTAATTAGTTTATCTATTAAAGGTAGAATGAGGGAATCTAGAGCTTTGGTGTGTTGGGGGCTGCGCTTTCTTTTAAGATTTTATTTATTCGTGAGAGACAGACAGAGGGGCAGAGACATAGGCAGAGGGAGAAGCAGGCTCCCCACAGGAAGCCCGATGCGGGACTCGATGAGGAGTCTCAGGACCCTGGGATCACGACCTGAGCCAAAGGCGGATGCTCAACCACTGAGCTGCCCAGGCGGCCCTGGGGGCTGTGCTTTATAATCCAATTTTGAATCAGGCCTTAAAATTGAAAAGAAACTTAGAGGTAAGTTATACCTTAAGGTATATTTTACCTTAAGGGATTTATACTCCCCTACCCCCTTCATCTGTAGGCAGAAACTAGATAACAGTTCTAATCTGAAAGGAGATGGGATGTTGCTTGGATGGAAAGCTTTCTGGGGATTCTTTTTTTCCTCCTGGAGAAAAAATATTCTGAGGCCAATGCCCCTATTTTTAAAAGCAATCTCCACCACACTCCCTCCCTTTACTTATTTCAACCCCCTATGTTAAAGTCTATAGTTGCTAAGTTGTCTGTGACTTAGGTATGAGAGAAATAAAAGTATGATGAGAAGAAAAATTGTTAAAGTAGTATCACTTGTGTAAGGGCAAAGTAATGACTTATTCTTCTTAGTTTTGTTAGCTTGTGGTTTATTGGCAGACTTCCTTTGGTAACTGTTAGTGGGTGGAAATGGTCATGCCAGGGACAAAAGCCTCAGGTAACAGGCCTGTCAGACCAGCTGCAAAAGAGGAGAGGGTTAGTTGCCCAAATGCCTGAGCAAGTACGATGAAGAGAAATAGTAATGTTGTTTAAAAAAACTAAGTTCAACTGAGTAAACGTGAAGATCTAATCGACTTTAATCAATGATTCATGAATTGGGCTGCATCCCATTTAACGAACAGAAATGAGCTCCAAGGAGCTACACAAAATGGAAGACTTTTATAGGCAGAAACAAGGCAAGATATGGAAAGTTATTAGTAAAAGCAAAGAAAGAATTGTTTCGGGCAAGGTCATCTTCCTTTGGGTTGGGGGGTCTGTCGTGCAGACCACCACACTAGTACTGATCAGGAAATCCCAGACGGTGATTAAAAGTCACATTTCTGTAACTAAGTCTTGGTTTGCTGTCTCAGGGCAAGCGACTCCATATTGAGTCAGTTATTATTATTTTTAAAAACACTGTAAACATTTTCATGCGCACTTACTATATACAAGATGCTAAATACACTGGGAAAATAAAGAGTTTAAAGATGCACTCTTTAAGAAGTGTATACTCTAGTTGATAGGATAATAACCTACCATATCTATGTAAAGCCTACCTATGATTATTACTGGTAATAATTATGACCAGCTAGCTCCCCAGCTAGCTCCCCTTGATCAACAATTTTGCTTTCCACAGTCCAAAAGCAGATGATATGCCATTCACCTCACTTTGTCTCATGTAGGCATTTTATCACCTCACATCATCATAAGAAGGATGAGTATAGTACAATAAGATATTTTGAGGGAGAGAAATCACATTCACATTACTTTTATTGAAGTCTAATGTTTTTAATTTTATTATTGTTGCTGTTAATCTCCTACTGTGCCTAATTTAGAAATTAAACTTTGATATTGGTAAGTATGTATAGGAAAGAAACACAATATGTATAGTATATATACTCAGCACTGGTGGTTTCAGGCATCTGCTGGGGGTCTTGGAACATATCCCCTGTGGCTAAGGAGGGGAACTACTATACACACCAATGAATATATTTGAGTTATTATTTTACTAAATATACTCAACCCTGGGCCCAATTTATCGATACCAAAAAACAAATGCACTTGTTCTCCAAAATTGCTATCCAAGCAAGGGAAAGCACTTCATGGTAGTATAAATATAGCCATTCAAACATGCATATATTAATTTACTATATTAAACTTGAATTGTTTTCTAACAGTATACTAAATTCCAGGGTCTAAGTTCTCTATTATGAACTTTCTTTTTTTTAAAAAAAATTTATTTATTTATGACAGACACGGAGAGAGAGAGAGAGGCAGAGACACAGGCAGAGGGAGAAGCAGGCTCCATGCAGGGAGCCTGACGTGGGACTCGATCCCAGGACTAAAACCGCTGAGCCACCGGAGCTGCCCTATTATAAACTTTCTTAAAGATGCAAGGAAAACCTTGAAAGGTCAATTTGATAGTTCAGACTAGTTCATCTCAGGGAATGTAGGAAAATCTTTTGGATTAAACACAAAAATTGGTATCTTCTATTTCTGTATTTTTAGCCTCCACACTTAACAAAATTTCAATTTTGTGTACCATACATGTTGGTATAATAAGACATGTATAAAATTTATGCATGTATAGTACATGCATGTTCTAAAAGCGCTAATTTTTTAAAATTAGGGAATATATAATAAAAAGCTTCTGTCTCACCACTGTTGTCAATGTATTGCTCTGCTAAGTGGGGAGTGGGTTAGATTACTAAAAATCTCAATGTTCTAGGTCCTTTTTTTGAATCTGTTTCTCATTTATTCCGGGAGAAATAATGCAAAATAGAAATTAACAGTTATAAGTCCATAGCAGAAAAAGCACTATTACCTGTTATTCTATATTTCTTTTTATATTTTTGTTGTGGCCTCGCCTTAGTTATGCCACTTCAAAATGTATGAAACACTAACTTTTTTAAAAAGTAGACCAAAAGGATAAAAGGAAAAGTTTTTTTTTAAAAAAGGCATGAAACAAAGGGCAAGGAAACTATTCATTATATAACTTGCTATTATTAATTATTTTCACTCATTGCCTCATTTTAAAAAAAGTGAATATCTTCTACCATTCTGAAAAGCTAGCCCACCAACGACACCAATCTTTGTTTCTGCTTTATCTTCACATTGTTCTTTTGTTTTAAACACTTCATTGCTGGGTTTCCAAATGGAAAACTGCAGCACGGCTTTGCTGATCCATGATGATTTTATAATTTACAATGGTTGCATCAGAATCTCCATGATCATAAAATGCTTAAAAGCATTTCTGTGTTGGTCTTGACTACTACAAACATTAGGTTGCAAATCCACCTGTTAAAGCAGCAACTTGTTGGGAGTTGGTGGGCATAAGGGTGAGGGGAATTTAAAAATAGGAAACAGGAATCTGCAATAAAATAACATGAGTTGAGACTCCCTAGGTTAGAAAGTAACCATTCAAAGGATGTTTTGAAGCATTGTTCTTCCATGGAAAACACAGTCTTCTTTGTCCTCAGAAGCTGTGAAGCTGTCTCAGTAGCCACCTGTAGAGATGTAACAATTCTGGACTGGCCAGGTTGAGCTGTGTAGCTAGTGTGACCAGGGAGAGATCTGCTAATTAGGAGAAGGGTCCTCTGGAGGATTATGATAATCTTCAGTGAATGGTTGTCTAGTGAATATGGGGTCATGGTTGTAGTCTTTTAGATGTGCGGAATGCCTGAGACCTTTCATTGCACACCAGAAGAACAAAGGAAAGTGAGGGGAGAGTACAGCATTTAGAAGAAAGCTTAAGGGAATTTCACTAGGGTAAAGCATGAATGTAATGACAGAAGAAAACCGTAAAAGGCAGCAGCCGCATTAACACTAGATATAAAAACCTTTCTTATTATAGATCAAATTATATCCATACACCCCCCTCCTATATACTATAATCATCAGACTAAGAACACCCGCTCCAAGAAGGCTTGCAATTGCTGAATGCTAGCTCCCTAAAAATACTACCAAAATAGCCTGTTGCTAAGGCAAAACTGAGTTTGTTGCTTACCATGGTAAGTAAGCTTTCTTCCTTGACAAAGTTTTAATAGCATCTTGGAGCAGGAAGGACAATGTTGGACTATTTAAGTGGTTTTTGGGTTTGAGTTTAAAATGGGTCTTTCAATACAAGGGCTTGATTAGAATTAGCTAATGATTATGATAAACTAGTTTTGGATTGGTGGACATAAGATGAGTGTTTTGAGGTGAGTGTTTCAAAAAGCATTGAGAATCAATAAACTTTTATCTCTCTGCTCCAGAGCTTCCTAGAATAAAAAAATTGTGTTGATGAAGACAGTAGAAGTCATGTTAATGAAGACAGCCAAACAATAATGTCATGGCCACGTAGACAATAAGCTTTAGAGATGTCTGATCTTGGGTTCACACAATCGAATAGTGAGGACCAGTTTGGAATCTGAGGAGAATCATTTGAGTAAGGACAGGTAGAGGTAACAAAGAAGCAAGGCTGACATTGAGTTTAGCTAAAATGATGCTCATCCTTAGTGTGTGTGGAGGGCAGGGGAAGGGAGAGAGAGATTGATTGACAGTTCCATAAAAACAGCCGTGTAAAATATTTGTCTGCATATGTCTACAGTTTCATTTACTTTACCTATACTCTTTCTTTTTTCTTTTTTAAAAAATTTATTTATTTATTTGACAGAGATTAAAAAAAAAGAGAGTGAGAGCACAAGCAGGGGTGGGGGTGGTGGGTAGCAGGAGAGAGAGAAGCAGGGTCCGCATGGAGCAGGGAGCCTGATGTGGAGC